GTCACTAGACATCCAGCAGTGTTATTTTTTTAATCTTTTTTTTTTAAATTGAGATTCTGTGATTTAAAATGCTATTACTATTGGTTTCTCATGAATGGAATTCCTACATCACACCCATCATCAGTGTACCCCCTTCTTCTCTCAAGGACCTCAACATCTTTCCCTCTCGTGTTCCCCCTCACCCCAATTCAGTTGTGTGGATCAATTCTTCTATTATGTTGTCTCTGGCCCTTTGTTGCTACCTTGCTGTGTATCTTGAAATCCCACACATAATAGATCATTCTGTACCTATCCCTTTCCTTCTGACTGACTTCACACAACAGGATATCATCTAGTTCCATTCGTATTGCTGCAAATGGCATGATTTTGTTCTTTCTTAGAGCCAGCAGCATTATTATTAATAAAAGCAAGTGGGAATGTCGGAGGTCCAATTTCCAGCAACTGATGAACAACTGAAAAACAACTACACAGTGGAATGTTATAGTCAAGAAACAGAAATGAAGTACCAATTCATAAACTTTACACATAAACATTTACATGTCATGCCCACTGCCAGTTTCAGAAATGATCTCAGAGAAACACCTGAGTTATCCCAGGAAGGCCAGGCCACTACTGGGTCAAGATCAGTGGGCCCTAAGCTGGACTGGGGCAGACTGAGTCCCCATCCTGCCAAAAGCCCAGCGCCCCACCCACCCACATCCTGCTCCTGCCACTGACATAGAACTGGCCCAGCTTCAGGACTAATTTCAGAGAGGCTAGAGAGACACCTGAAATTGATTGTCCCAGCTCCAAAGTCCCTGAAGCATGCAGCGGCACATACAGCTGTGCAACACCTCCAAACTTCACAGAGCCCAGGAGAAACAAGAAAATTAGATGGAAAAGTGGGAAAATTGAGCAGAAGCCCAATAAGCTCAACAAGTGAAAACTGTAACACAAAAGGCCCAACTCACACCTAACAGCTCAGTAAATCCTCAGGCCATGGCTGGAGCAACACCATTACAAGATGTATGTTGTAATAAGCAATATAAAATAATAAATGCATGTAAGGGAGCAGGCTTGGGGGGTGAATGGAAGACTGACTAGGGGCCTTGATGGATGGAAGGGCACACTGGTGGTAGACTGGTGTTAGAATATTGAATACTTGAAACAACTATACTGTGAACAACTTAGAAAATTTAAACGGTGTTTAAATAAAGTTTAAAAATTTTTAAACCAACAAAAAGCAAAAAAAAATAACAATTTTTAAAATGTGACAAAGACCATGTGCTCTCTGTATGAAATGTCTAGAACAGGGACATTAATAGACCCACTAAGCAGAATATTGGTTGCCTGGTGATGGGAAGAGGAAATACTGGGAGTTTCTTGGAACATTCTAGCCACAAAGATGATATAATTGCATGAGTCATGATTCATACTTACCTATCACTTACTTACCATGAAAATAACCTCTCTTTAGCCTATTCTGTTTGGTTTTCCTCAAATATGTATTTCAATTCAGGCTACAGAAGTTGATTTTAATAGTTGCAGAAAAATTCTTCTAACAAAAAATTACCCAATTGAGGTGCTGAACAAAATGGCCTTACTTCCCTTTCCATTCCCAGCTAGTTCTTGCACCAAGAGGGGCCTCATATACAAGCATAAGGATGTATAGCCTTTATGCCCACACTCTGCTGATACACGTGCCTGCATATAGCTGTCCCTTGACTTTGGAGTAAACACACTAAGGCATAGTCTGCTGTGAGGAGGAAAGATCCAAGAAGAGCCCATGCAGTCACTTAGTGGCCTAGAAATGCCAATGCACAGGCTGTGGTTTAGGGGTGGGGTTGGGGGACTGCGGATGGGAAGGTTCCAGGTGGTGTGTCTCCAGGTTATCCTGGATTCTGCACTACAGGAAGGGAGGTCGGGAGGCATGTCTGGAGGAGGTCTGGCACAGGCTCCCTTAAAGCTTGAGATCTTCCTGCCTGGTTCGAAGGCACACACTATTGTCATCCATGCCTCAAATGAATAACCTTTAAATATGCAGCTGTAAACATCCCTTACTCTGTATGGGTTCAAGTGCCTATATACTGTATACTGAGCAACAAGAACCCAATTCCTAAATGCACCTGAATGCTGTGCTGAAGGCAGCCTGGAAAAGTTGAGGTGTCCATGGGCACTTAACTTTCCCTTATCAGACAGATGGAGAGAAGTCCTTTGGCTCTATGTTACATGTAGAAGTACAACAAGAGTCCAGATGTATGAAATACTTAGAGCAGCAAACACAGTCCAGACTTAGAACTGTTGCTCTAAATTAATTTCTACCCAAAAGTCAACTCCTTCAAGGAATTTATGGACTAATAAATAAAAATGCAAAGTAGAGTTAAGACAAAAAAGAAGGGATTAGGAAATAAATTACTAAGAAGTTATACTAGAAACATTGAAAAGAGGAAATAATTCCTATAAGGCATATAAGAAGGAGACGTTTGAGTTCAGTTCAAGTTAAGCAATATATTAGCATTTCTTGTGGCTGTAAGAAATCCGTTTTAAATCGGTTAACTTGTAATTCCTTCAACATTCTAAAAACTGATTCCCCATTCCTGTATTATATTACCCACTAAAAATGTCTGTTTCTAAGAAGTGAAGCATTCTTCAGGAATACTGAAAACACTGTTATTCCAAGTCTCTGTATATCACCACATATATGTAAATCAATGCATCACTACACTAAAATGGATTCTCCCTTTAAATAAAAAAACTTAATAATGTTTAAATGTAGTGTCCCATAGGAGTTATCTTTCATTACTGGAATTTATATTCCAACTATCAGTCCTTTACATTAATATCTAAATTTGTTCTAGACTTTCTCAACTGCTAATTTATTTTTAAGTTTATATCCTCCTAAGAAACAGAGCAATACAAACAGATGCTGAGAAATCAGGCATTTATGACTGCCTTTCCCCTTTTCTCTATGAAATAATTTGTCTACATTTTCCTGTCTGAACAGATCAGCTTTCAGCAAGAATGGAATGTTAATTGATGTTACGCACTAGCTGGGCTATCATTCCTCAAATTTAATAAGCCAAAAAAAAAAATCAAAACAAAACCCAACTGGGTTTCCTGTTTTTATTTATAGTTTTTAATGCCCCCCCGGGGGGGGGGACAAAAGAAAGTGTGTCTCAGTTATGGGCCAACCTTCTTTCACTTGTGAAAGAAGTCCCTTCCATCGGTTCCCCTGATGACTGTGGAGATCATGGAGCCCATCCTAACTTCCCTCCATGGCCTGAAGCAACATAAACAACTTCCTGTGAGAAGCCCGGGCCAACCGCCCCCTTCCCTCCAGGGAAGCACGCATAGTCAGCCCTCAGTGCCGTGATTATATAAGAACACAAGCGCTCATGCAAGCCAGGTTGAAGCTGAGGCCTGGAAGCACCAACTTATGTCTTGTTTTCTTCTAAAGCCTTGGAGACAGGCAGAAAGCTATCTTTTAACAATGGCTACATACTCAAGGAACTCTTCTATAAAACTTTTCAAACACTAAAAAAACGATATAATGTTGGGAAAGTTAATGAGCCAGTATGTTCAGGTTGCAGTGGCTATACCTCTATGGTAGTGGTAGAGTATACAAGAACATTTTGGGGGGCAGGAGGTAAGGTAAGGCACTTGCTTTGCATGCGGCCAACCCATGTGCAATCTCTGGAACCCTATCTGGTCCCCTGAGCCTGCCAGGAGTGAACCCCGAATGCAGAGCTAGGAGTAAGCCCTGAGCACTAAGAGCTGTGATCCCAAAGAAAACAAAATTCCCTTCCCCAAATTACCCACGAAACCTACATTTGTTAACTGAACATTTTTGTATGGTAAGAAGTCTCCCAGAAAAGTGAGAATTCCCCTCTCAATTTTTTTTAATGACAGAGGTGTTAACTGAAAGTTGAGGACAACATTCCTTGTTCAGAACAGAAGCTGTCTTGAAGACCCATCATCTCTGCACAAGTCAACACGGTGACCAAAGGTGACGCCAAGAACTGCCTGTTAGTTTGCCACTGTTACCCACAATCCATCTTTCCTCGTTAGAATCCCTTGGTGGCTGAAGATGGACCATCTGTGAAAAATGGTATGTAGACCTAAGAAGATTCCTTTGATTTAAGGTTCACCCTGGTGCACTGAGGGCAACTTCTGTGGTCTTCACTGAACCAAACTGATTCTCCACATCAATCTATTTTAAATACGGAGCACAACACAGAGTCATCCCTTGGGTTTTTGTATTTATGCTTGAATTCAGTGTGTGCCAAACAGATCTTTCAAACAGAAAGAAGGGTTGTTGTGTCTAATTGAAGGCTTCTCTTTTTGTATATATTTCGGGTGAAAATGTCACAAATATTCATCTCAGAAACACTGAGCTATGAGGAGATCTAGAAGCTAACCAAAGTTAATAGCTATTATGCTATTGTCTCTGATGATTCGAACAATAGAAAACTGTACATGTCATCCTTTGCAAAAATAGTGCCTTTGTAAAGATTTACTTCTCTATCCTGGGTTAATGAAGCCTTCACCTGGTGGAGTTACACTACTTACTCAAGAATGATCCCAGTTCATTGTGAATTTAATTTCTTCCTCACATTCAGCACCAAATCTTCAGAAGTGCCGTCCTACATGTCAGGCAGCCTGACTGTTTCTCAAAGCAGACTGTTACAAACAGGATCAAGTTCCTGCTGCTGTTTCTTCCCTGATGTGTGCAGAGCTGCAAATACTGGTTATGACAAAGAGCATTTGGAAACTTATAACTGATTCCTTCTAGTTACTAAGACACAATAGGCTATTCTGTAATGTGTCCTGTCTATCACCATCCCGGCTGTGTCAATAGTTGTAAACAGAATGCTTTCCTCCCACTGTTACATGAAAAAGTATGAAGATAACTCTGTCCAACAACACTGAGCAATCATTACATTAGTGACATGGGTGGGGGTAGTTTGTCATTCAAAAGAGGAAAAGTAAGTTCAGTGAAAGAACAGCATTTTATCACTTACCACTGAGGTAAGAGCCATTTGAAAACTGTAGATGCGGGCAAGACCAAAGTCAGCCAACTTTATTTGTCCACTGCTGGTCACCAAAATGTTCTGTGGTTTCAGATCACGATGCACTACTCGGTGAGAATGAAGAAAGTCCAGACCACGGAGAAGCTGAAACATCATATCCTAAATAAAACCAAAAAAGAAAGTCAATTATGGGTAGAGATAAAAATTCAACATGCTAAATCCTGAAACTTGGGAGGGGACTGGTACTCCCAAAATTAAGCATCTTCTGAATGGTGAGAAAAAAAAAACAACCACTCTTCCTATCTCTCCATTTTCCTATACTCAAGGTCAATTCGCTTTCGGCTCATATTTTATTAATGAGAGGATAATTTGTAGTTTCAGATGCACAATAATATGAATGAGTATTTCCTAAAGCAGAGGAAATATTTTAGAGGGATATACACCAAACTAGTATCAAAGGTTGATATTGAACTGCACACTTTATAACTTGTATAATTCCCATATGGTTTAATATTTTAATAATTAGCATTAGTAAATGATAATACTATTTATTGGTAATAATTAGTATCACATTTATAGCACCAAATACTCAACGGTCACCACATGTCAAGCACTGTTCTAAATGCCTTCTCTTTAGTAATGGAACCCACATTGTGACACTGAGATAAATACTATCACCATCTCAACTTACAGAAAAAGAACTGTTACACAATAGGTATATGAAATTAATACAAAGTAATACCAATAATAAGAGTCAAGATTCTTGATTCAAATCAGAATTTGGAAAAAGTATTTTCAAATTCCCAATGTACTTTGTGATAACATCAATAATTCAATGGGACTATGTAAAACTAGGTAAGCAGTTTAATAATACTGAGCCTCAGTTTCGTTATCTGTAAAATGGAAAAAGGGCAACCCCTACTTCACAGAATTACTGTGAAGCACTAATACAGCAATAAGTATTCAATAAATGACAGTGATTATTGCTACTATTAACTGGCATAGAAAAAAGGACATTAAAAATATGCCAGTGATACCCCTAATTTTAGAACCAAATGAAATGAAATTCAAGACCCAAAACTGAAAAACAAAGTATGAAAGTAGGAACTGAAGACATCACCATCTCTGGGGTTAATTAAGACAGACATAATCCTCAACATACCAGGACAAAGGTGTGCACACAGAAGAACTACATGGTTTGTTCATATGAAACTCAAAGTCTAAAAACACCATGGGCTTCTCTAGAGCGGCAGGGCCTGTGGGGACTCAGTAGTGGGATCACTGGCTCCTCCCATGGGAACAACATGTCTAGGGACTGATTTAAGGTATAGTTTATTCCAACAGGATTAGGAATCCTGTTTTTATATCCTAGTTTGTTTAAACCAAGGCCTTATTTGTGTGTGTGTGTGTGTGTGTGTGTGTGTGAGAGTGTGTGTGTGTGCGCGCCCACGCGCGCGTGGAGGTGTGTTGGCGGGGTAGAATTTCAGCCACATCTGTGCTCAGAGCCTATTCCTGGGTCTTTGCTCAGAGATCACTCCTGGGGTTGCTTGAGACAACCCATGTGCTGATCCAAGGATCGAGCCTAGGTCAGCTGTGTGCAAGACAAGAGCCCTAACCACTGTACTATCTCTTTGACCCCAAAGTGTTTATTTTTGCAAACACAAAATGGAGAAAAATATTCCTTCCTTTTCACAATTCCCAGAGATTTAGAAGAAGAAATGTAGAGAGAGAGGGGCAGTGCAGTTGTGTGAACAAGGTTAAACATCCAAGAAATGATAGTCCAAATGTCTAGTTAGTGTCCTGGTGAAGGTAGTCACAAAGAACTCTAAGAAAATGTGGCCCTTAAACAGAAAGAAAAGAAAAAGAAAAAGAAAAGAAAAGGTGGCCAGTTAGTGCTTACAAGGTCAGGGAAGAAAGTCCTAAAGCATCAAAGTCCATGCGTGCTCACATACCACCATAAGAGATGTACTGAGATCCAACTAAATGGACATTCCAAACCGTCAGTGGTTACCTACTCTTTCCAACTCTAAAGCTGTTTAGAAGACTACTGTCAAAGGACTATTCTCCAAGACTTAAGAACCATTACAGGTCAAATAACTTGCAATGAAAAAACAGGAGTGTAAAAATGAAGCACAAAATATTAACCAAAGCAGTCTTCTGCTGTGGCAAATAAGTCTTTATTGGAAACATATGCACACGACTTGTAAGCACTGGATTTTAAACAGCATGACTAACCCAACGTAATGTCTTGCTGGCTCGTCCATCTTTAGCTTCTTATATACACAAAGCACCAATCATTTAAAAGAGTACAAAGACTAAGCCAATTTGGTTCATGTTTTCAATTTCAGTTTAAGCAGCCAATTAACAGAATAAAAACATTTTAATTTTGGGTTAAAGTGTTTGCCTTGCATGCAGTTGAGTTCAACTGAATCCTGAGCACCAACAGGGGTCACTCCTAAGCATGGAGCCAGGAAAAGCCCCTGAGCATCAAAAGGTGTGATTCCCCCCATTTAAAAAAACACTAAGGCCCACCAAGACTGGTAAAAAACTGACATTACATATGTAGCAAAAAATATTCCTTTAATTAATGCATTTATTTATAAACCACTCTCTATATTTTTGAATTATAAAAAGCTTAAAAATTCAAAGGAAGAATAAGTATCATTCAAATCCCACTATTGGAAGATTAGAAGAATAAAAACAACAGACTTCTGTCCAGCCCTGCCCTCTGCCAAAAAACAAACAAACCAAAAAATCTAGAGAATGTACAGTGGGTAGGGTGCTTGCCTTGTGCACAGCTAACTTGGGTTCATTGATATGGCTCACCAAGCACCGCTAGGAGTGATTCCTGAGTACAGACCCAGGAATAACCCTTGACCACCATAGGGTGTGACCCCCAATCAAAATCAAAATAAGGAGGTGAGGGACCAACTCAGAATGATCTCTCTCATATGTGGGATACAGAAAAACACAGTGGGGACTTACTAAGGGGGTGGGCATTCACTGGGACAATGGTGAAGGGAAGCAGACACTGGGAAGTATAGTATTGAAACATTTTATGTATAAAGTCCTACCATCAACAGTTGTGTAACCCATGCTGCCTAAAATATATTTTTAAAAAAAGAATAGAAAAAAACTTCACTGTCAAATAATTTTTGTCTGTCACTTCTCTTGTGTTACACATATGGCTATATTTGTGGGCATAAATATATTATATAGTAAGTACATGTTTGTAAGAAAATGGCTATTCTGCACACATTATTTTGTCATTTAAAACAGTATAAATGGTTTTTAATAGTTGCAGGGTTTTCCTCTGAAGGAGATGCCATATCATTATTATTTTTGAGCTATGTTATTTTGGAACTGTAGTAAAAGTCCAGCTCTCCTTTGTTTAAAAACTAGAGCAGGTGAAAAGGACCTGAGGGTGTTATGTTTAAGTACTGGTTAGCAGTGTGACTGTACTTAACTGTACCACCATTGACTCCATGTAGCACTGCACTGCACTGTCCTCCCATTGTTCATCGATTTGCTCGAGTGGACCCAGTAACATCTCCATCGTGAGAATTGCTGTTACTGTGTTTGGCATAATACGTCACGGGTAGCTTGCCAGGCTTTGCCGTGCGGGCGAAATACTCTGGGTAGCTTGCTGGGCTCTCTGAGAGGGGCGGAGGATAACAGAACCCGGCTCTGCTGGGCTGGCTTCGCGCAAGGCAAATGCCCTACCGCTGTGCTATCGCTACAGCCCTGACACCATGTAAATGACACTAATGGAGATATGAAAACTTGGTTCTGTATAATTGCTACTATTTATATTTTATTAGACTTCTTTAGATACTTTTGTAATGCAAACTGGGGTTTCTTTTAAACCTAAAATTCTAGCCATAATTAAGACTTTTAAATTCCAAGTTTCTAGTGCCAGAGGGATAGTACTGTGGGTAGGGTGTCTGCCTTGCATGTGGCCAACTGGGTTCAATTCCTGGTACCCCACAGGGTCCTCCATGCACCACCAGTAGTAATTCCTGAGTGCAAAGCCAGGAGTAACCTCTGAGCATCACCAGGGGTGGTCCAAAAAAAAGCAAATAAGTAAATTGTAAGCTTGGAAATAACAATTTAAAAATAATCTTGCCAAAACTTTCATTTCTTTTATTAATTCAATTATGAGATAATGTTGATGAGCATTATGGACCTGCAGTAGTGTGAACGGTAGAATGCTCTAATCCTGAATATCTGAGATGCTAAGCAGAGTACCTAACATCCAAGGGGAAATACTCAGCCAGTCCACAAACTCATAGTTAATAAATAAAAATAAGCTGTAGTCCCAAACTCTTGAGAATAAAACGAATGAAAACATTTATTTATTTTGGAATGAATACATTTATAACAATAAACAAGGTAAGAAAAAGCTCAGAATTACAAGAAGTTCTTTGATCATAGACATTTCAAAGGATTCTATACTTAAGCTTATTATCTGTTTTATCTCAACTTATACTATCATGAGACATACTTTTAAATTAGCTCCTCAAGATTTTAATCTAAATTAATCTGTCTTATACAAGACTGAAATATTTCACAGTAATCCTAGTGATGCAATGCAATGAAACTATGGATACTGCCAATTAAAGCTCTTTATGATAAACACAGGTTTAAAAGTTTCCCCTTTTATGTTACAATGCACAGTTGTGGTATAAAAGGTTTAAATGTCTAGTCACCATAATGATAAACAGTCACTTGGGGACCTCAATCTGCATCTTTCTGAAACATATGACTTTAAGCAAGTTTCAACAGACAACTATCATGGAATGCAGTAAATTTAGGTGGGGCTTGCTTTGTCCTTAGTAACTCCCCTAAAGACTCTGGACTTCACTTTGAATTCCAGAGATCTTTCAAGTTTTGTAATTGTTCCTTTAAGGTTTTCAACAAGCAATCTAAAAATCTACTTCAACCTTTTCTAATGGGAAAACATTCTATCAGTCGGTCTTTCATTCTAGTTGCTTAAAATGTATGTTCGTTTCTAAAGATACTAAAGACACCTAATTTAAACCATAAAGTAAATAATTTTACTTTTATTTTTGTTTTGGGGGCCACACCCAGTGGTACTCAGGGTTTACTCCTGGCTCTACATTGAGGAATCACTCTTGGGGCTGGGGTGCTTGGGAGAC